TGTAATAAAACTACCAGTGCTCTTGTCTGTGGTCATTTACTGACTGCTTTATTCGTCCATTTAGTTTAATCATTGTGTAGTTATGAGAAAATGAGAAATAGGCAAAGTGCAATACCGACATACTGCCATATATATTTATAATCATTAAAGCTTAGGATCCAAACAGGAATATGCTGTTATATGTATTGAAGCTTTACAGTGCGTATGAATAATATTACTACATCTCCCCTTTTTCAATCCTAATTAAGACAATAATTTACAAAATGTTGTTTGTATTAATTGATAGAATAATAATAAAAAAGTACTTATGTCTAAAAGTATATTTTAATAAATTGTTTACAATTTACAAATTCTTAATACAAATTTGTTTATATTTCCAAAATTCATTTACGACTTCTTAAAAAATACGAATTTCTACGATATGTTTTTTCATCATCTTTTTGTACTATATATGAACGGGGTGTGGAATGTTTTTTCTACAATTTTTGCTGGAGTCCAAAATCTCCCTTCTTTTAACCATACTTCATCTCCCTTTTGAAAATCATTTCTCTCAGTCGACAATCTATCGTGATATTTTTTGTTACTAAAATTGTTATGTTTTAAAACTGGTATAACTTTATTGCAAATTTCAGTGTTTTTGTAAAATTTATTTCTTCCTGGAACCAAGGTTCTTGTTTGCCTACCCATAAGTAGCTGCACTGGAGAATACTCTGTGTTCTTAATGGGAATATTTCTATATTCTAAAAGTGCATGCCATATATTACTTTTCTCGTCATTACATTTAAGAACAAGATTTTTGGCTACTTGAACCATGCGTTCTGCAAAACCATTCGACTTGGCATAATGTGGGCTTGTGGTAGTAACTCTAATATCTAATTCTGTTGCCCATTGTCGGAATTCAAAAGACCCAAATGGAACATTGTCGGCTATAATCTCGAGGGGATATCCATGCGTAGAAAAAATAACATTAAGTTTTTTCCGAAAGTGCTTTCGCTGTCTTTTTGACTAATGGTACTATTTCTAAATATTTTGAAAAGTAATCTGATACAACTAAAAAATTCTTTACCTGTTACTTCCATTACATCCATTGCTATTTTCTCAAAAGGCCCATTTGGTATTGCATGGTTTAAAAGGGGTTCTTTCGGATTAGAGGGTCTATATTTTTGACAGATGTTACATTTGACAATCATAGATTCTATATCTTGATTCATATTGGGCCAGAATAAAAGCTGCTTAGCCCTATTTTTAGTTTTTTTCCATGCCCAAATGAGGTCTGTGAAGTTGTGTGAGTATTATTCCGCGAAGAGATTGCGGTATAAAAAATACGGTCATCTAAAAATACCAGACCGTCTTCTACAAACAAACTCATTCTGTGCTTCCATAAATATTGTAAATGTTTTTCTAACTTGGATTTATCTGGTGGCCAACCATTCTTTACATAACTCAAAACTGCTTTTAATACACTATCTTTCGACGTTTCTTCCTGTATAGTAATTTTCTTTTCTTCGCTTACGTTTATAGTGTGTACCATGTCTTCTAAACCTTCAATCTCTACTTCTTTCCCGGCATTCTTTGAGATACTACGTGATAGCCAATCTGCCAGATATATATATTTCCCTGGTAAATATGTGAAACTTAAATCGTATTTTTGAAGTTTTAATTTCATTCGCTGCAATTTTGCCGATGGAATTTTGTTGTAATCTTTTTTCATGATACCCAAAAGGGGTTTATGGTCTGTTATAACTTCTACCTTCCTTCCGTAGATGTAGTTGTGAAACTTTTGACACGAAAACACCACCGCCAGCATTTCTTTTTCAATCTGTGCGTATCTCATTTCCGATTCTGTTAAGCTTCTAGACGCAAAACATATTGGCACTTTATTCTGCAACAGAGCACATCCCACACCGCTCTTTGATGCATCTGTTTGAAGAAAAATTTTCTCCTTTCCGTTAAAGGGTCTTAAAATCGGAGCTTTCATTATTAAATTTTTGATGTCTTGTAAGCAACTTTCGTGTATTGGTAGCCACTCAAAAACTACAGATTTTTTCATTAGTTCTCTTAGTGGACTGCTTATGTGAGCTAAGTTAGGTATATACTCTCTCAGGTAGTTGATAAAACCCATCAACCTCTGCAAGTCTTTCTTACAATTTGGAGCTTTTAAATCTTCTATGCCTTTTAGTCTGTTCTTGTCTATTGCTATTCCTTTTTCAGATACTGTATGTCCTAACAAACAAACTTCATGTTGCTTCCATTGAATCTTTTCTTTATTAAATTTAATATTATTTTCTACTGCCCTTTTCAGTAGTAATTCTACAGTTTTATCATGTTCTTCTTCATTTTCAGCTGCTATAAGTATATCGTCAATGTAAACAGAAACATTTTTAATGTCTCCAAAGTTTTCTTCGTTGAATTTTTGAAACACCTCAGGTGCTATCTTTAAGCCAAAAGGTAATCGCCTAAACCTATAACAACCAAATGGCGTACTAAATGTGCATAGTTCTTTAGATTTTTCATTTAACTCTATTTGCCAAAATCCATCTTTTAAATCGAAGACTGAGAAAACTTTCTTATTAAGCAAATTTGGTTTGATTTGTTCAAATGTTGGTATTTCATAAAAATTATCTTTTATAGCATTATTTAATTCTTTGGGATTAATGCAAATTCTTAATTTCTTATTCGGTTTCTCGACTATTACTATATTCGAAACCCATGAACTCGGCTTTTTGTTTTTTTTCAATAATACCTTTTTCACACAAGTTATTTAGTTCATTTCTCAAAGGCTCCCTTAACGATAACGGTATCCGAGATGCCGGCTTCGAGCACGGCGCGGCATTTTCTCTGAGTTCTATGGAAAAATGTTTTTTAAAACAACCTAATCCATTAAAAATATGCTCGTATTTTTTAAGCAAATCTTGCTTTTGAAAATTTCTTATGCTATTAATTCTTTTAATAAGACCTAGATGAACACAAGTTTCCAACCCTAAAATTGGAGTCGAATTTATTTCATTTTTGACTATGAAAAACTTTATGTGCTGGATTTTATTTTTTATATTACATTCCAGGATCACATATCCTAAATTTTCAATTCTTGTACCGTTGTATGCTACTAAACTTTCACAGCTTTTTCGAATTTCAACAAATTTTAATTCTTTTAGATAGTTCATCGGCAAAATATTAACCATGGCTCCAGTATCTAATTTAAATACAATGATTTTGTTTTGAATTTTAATGTTTTCATTCCAAATTTTTGAATTATTTACACTTTTAATTGTATCTAAATATAAATAAGTTTCATTTTCATTCTTATTTTCTAGTTTTATTTCCTTGACCGATTTCTTTTTGCATACGCTCGCGAAATGATTTGTTCCTCTACAGTTGTTACAAAACTTCCCAAAGGCTGGGCATTTACCTCTTAAATGTGTTCTACCGCAAAACTTACAGTTAATGTTTCCCTTTTTACATTCTTTATGGTGATTTGGTTCACTTCTTTGCGCTTCAGTGCCACCCTTGCCCGGATTCTTTCGTACCAAATCTACCACCTCACTACTGCCTTGCATACGTGCTACCTGTTGATTTGAAAGCTCCGCTGAACGTGCTAAATCTACCGCCATCTCCATTGTTAACTCATGTGTATCCAGCAATTTCTTCTGCAATCTCTTGTCATTTGTACCTAATACAATACGGTCACGAACCATTCGATCCTCATTGTCGAAACCACACCTTCGTACTATTCTTTTCAAATCCATTAAAAAGTTGTCAAATGGCTCGCCAAGTGTTTGGCTGCGATTATGAAATACAAAACTTTCATAAACTTCGTTCCTTTTTGGCTTACAAAAATTTTCGAATGCTTTTGTAACCTCAGCATATTTTTTCCTTTGCTCATCATCAAGATTGAATGTATTAAAAATTTCGATTGCATCTGTGCCAATCGCGTTTAAGAAGATAGCTACTTTTACTGGTTCCGGCTTCTTATCTAACTCGATAGCCACCGCAAATATTTTAAAATTTTGCCAGAAAATTCTCCAATTTTCGGCTAGGTTTCCACTTAATTTAAGCTCATCAACTTTTCTTACGTAATCCATGCTTTTTATGTAGACGTATCGGATCTGTTTGGGTGGCCTTCCACGTGGTTTGACACTCAATATGCGAACACTTGTACTGAGTTTAGCTCTTCCCATTTAATTTGGTTCATTTTAAGAATTTAAGAGCCATTTACTTAAAGATTTTCGCTATAAAATCTTTTTCTTTGTACGCGTAATTTTATTTAATATAAATATTTCTAATTTGTTACCGCGTGGGTTTTCTTACAAATTAATTTTCACCGGCTGCGCCATGTAATAAAACTACCAGTGCTCTTGTCTGTGGTCATTTACTGACTGC